TGACTATTTCTTTATTCCAGTTTGATTAGTGTATTGACTACCTGAAGTTACTGAATAAATGCGCAGCGAGAGGGAATTTTCTTTTATGGATGTTTCAATACTTTTCTAACATTATAACATTTTAACTAACTGACAATAATTTAACTCGACTAAAGCTAATATTTCTTAAGAAATCATGATCAAATATGATGCTGCAGAACAACCAGAGCGTGGTGTTTTTTATTCCACGCTTTCTCCTCTCTTTCCAAAACTTGATGCCTGCATTCCCGTCGGAGATGTACGCGTCTTATGCTAGTAGCGGCTAACGTAGCCTCAAACTGCTAAGATAAATAGTTGAGCAGCAGGCTGCAGCCGTCTGGTTAGCTCACTTCTTTGCAACTCCACAAATATCACTCGTGATTTAGTAGCATAAATCCAAGATAGGACGCAAATCTTTGTCTTTTGTACATCCAACAATCTACCATGACCTCTCTACTATAGATCCCCCACAGAGACAGGTTAAAGCACCAGTTGTAACTGCTTTGACATAACCTCTTTTTACTCAAAACTTTTCCTATCTGCAGACCCTCTTCTTTACTCTGTTTTCTAGTTCTATATCCCTTCTTTTTGTCTTTGGTTATTTAAGAAAATTCTGAACCCACAATTGTCATTTTGGAAGCAAGATGGCTTTGAACAGATTGGGTGTTATAAAACAATAGGCTTCAGTCTGTGAGTGTGGCTGAGTGTGTTGGCAATGGGAAAGGTAATGCAGTCGCACTGAGAAGGGGTGTGTGTGTGTGTGTGTGTGTGTGTGTGTGTGTGTGTGTGTGTGTGTGTGTGTGTGTGTGTGTGTGTGTGTGTGTGTGTGTGTGTGTGTGTGTGTGATGGTGGCTGTGCTGACTGCAGCAATGCGCCAAGGAGAATGGAGGGGGAATATACCCTACAGAGAGAGGGAGGGAGGGGGGAGGGAGGAGAGGAGGAGAACAGGAAAGGATGAGGCCAAGTGAGTAAGAGAGGGAGGTGTGTGTGGTGTGTGGTGTGTGTGTGTGTGTGAGACAGGAGCAATCTACACCGGCTCCTACATTCATTCATCTTTCTCTTTTCTTCTATCCCACCACCTCCTCTCTTCTTTTTCTGTGTGTGTGTGTGTGTGTGTGTGTGTGTGTGTGTGTGTGTGTGTGTGTGTGTGTGTGTGTGTGTGTGTGTGTGTGTGTGTGTGTGTGCGTGTGTGTGTTCAGGAATCTGCGTCTGTGCATGTGCGTGAGTGCTTTGCTGTTGAGAGAGATAAAGTGTTGCAGTGATTTCTGAAGGGATAGCCACAGGCAGCCTCTGAACTTATGTTTACTACCAGGGCGGGCGTCTTTATCTGCCGCAGATAGTAAACACAAAACCACAAACAATTCGCTCCAAAATAAAAGAAACCCATAATCCTCATTTATCTCTTTAGGTTTCTCTAAAATTGAGAATTTAACATGCCGTTAAAAGTTCAATTTGGCGCGTGTCTTGCCCATTTATACGGGACTTTTATCTGCTTTGCCGTAGGGGCCGCAGCTACAAACAGACTGTAAGAACAACGCTACATCTGCCTCTGACAAAAGAGAGACGCTGACAGGACGGTTAATGAAAACTGACAGGAAAATGTGAACACTTAACGGGGTGACAATACCTTTCATTTGTACACCCACAAGCATCTGTGTGTGTGTGTGTGTGTGTGTGTGTGTGTGTGTGTGTGTGTGTGTGTGTGTGTGTGTGTGTGTGTGTGTATCCCAGTGTGGATGGAAAGATTTGTGAGCACCTCAAGGTGTATGTGTATAGCAGCATAACGTGTGCAGCATGCTAGTAAGTTGTGTGTGCATGCATAGGTGTGTGTGTGTGTGTGTGTGTGTGTGTGTGTGTAGCATCGCGACGTGGGCTCTGCTGGCTCAGCGCTTTCAGTCAGCCAATTAATTACAGAGAAGCGCTGGAGACAGAACAGTAGAACACACACAACGACACTGCGAGACACACACACATACACACACACACGCAGTACATTACACACAACACTTTCCTTCACTCAGACACATATTTGTCATCATTGATGCAACAAATGGCTGGAACAGAGCTGCATGAGGCTCGTTCATTACCAGAGTTTCATCATCTTCATCTGCTGTGTGGTTACTTCCCATCAGCAGCTGCAGGAACACAACAGTGCTTCAACCTGAGACTAAAAGCTATAAAACTGTACACTGTGCGCTCTTTCTAAAACCTTTCTGTAACGCAGCTCTTCAGAGGGAAAAAGTATCTGTTGCATAGAAATGGAGGAAGGAGAGAAAAGTAAGACAAGAGGGAAAAACTTCCCTAAGTCCTGCATTCAAATGGTTAAAAGGAAAATATAAAGTATTAAGAATACAATACTAATTTTGAGGAAGATGAGAGTAATTTGATAAAGGAAACAAGAGTTTATAAGGGTAGAAGGAAAGGGGAGATAACAAGGTGATACAACAAAGAAAGGAACCTAAGGAGTAGGATGAGCCGAAAATTCAGAACAAGCTCGGATCATGTCAGTAAATCCTTTAAATCAAACCAAACCAAACCCCAGTTTTAATTAGTTATAGCGTGATTAAACATTAAAAAATCATAATAACGAAACATTATTTTAGTGTTTTATGTCTGGGGCTGTTGTAGTTGTAGTGCTGTAGTGAAGTGTTGTACTGTAGTTTCGCAAATTAATAAACATTTATGCATGTCTCGGCGCAAGTGTTGAGTTTAGGGAGGACATTTTAAAGTTGTGTTTAGTTGGTAACCCTTCATTTGTAAAACTGTTGTGAGGATAGGTTTTTACGCAATGAGTCTCGTGCAAGTCTTAACAAGGTTTCGCAAACCAAAGGGTTAAAGGGAAAGTAAACCATTCATGAGAAGAAATAACACTATCATTCATACTACCGCTGTTTTTTAACACTGTATGTTAAGAACTGGAGACAATGCCCAACTCCCTTGCCACAAATGTCACACTTCCTCAACGTGTCATACTACAAATGAAGAAAAAGGGTACGAAAAAAGTAAACGACGAGACATGAGTAATGGTGAGTGGTCAGTAACAAATGATATACAGGTATTATTATAAACAGGTAAACTTCATTTTATGTAAATTCTATGTTGACTATCAGAAGTGTATAAGTGAAGCGGGTACTTGTTTTCATTTCTGTGATCAAAAGCTCTTTTATAGTTATAACAACTATCAAAGGTATTGTTTTCAGCAGTTACATAACACCCTGCAAGAATCCCCCCCAGCTGTGTTTGTGAGGAGATAGTTCTCTCCAACAGTACCTCTGGGTATCCAAACAAAAAGATGGAATAAAAGAATGGAGGGAAAAGCTGCCGACTCTAGCTGTCAGATAAATGCAGCACCGTGTATCCCCCATGTGTCGGAGGAAATGTAGGAAGTGAAAGGGAAACACTTAAGCAAAGTACCTCATATAAGTGAGGTAAACCACTTCAGTAACGACCGTCTGGTTTACATTTCTGACAACAGGAGAGAAACTGAGATAACCACCGTGTCACCGACAACACAGCAGAGTAATGGCCACTACAGTAAAAAGAGAACACAGAGAGAGTGTGTTTTACCTTTAAAGCACAAAAGATACACGAGTCCTCCATGCACTTGTGTGTGGTCAGCTGTCGGAAGCTTCTGCGGAAGATGTCGAGATGCCACAGAACCTGAGAGACAAAACACGCATGTACTCACAAATAAAGGAATTGTATTTACTTTTGAATTAGATATATTGTTTATTTTAGTTAGCTACAATTTATGAGATGTTTTGTCCCAGGTCTCACTGGAACTGAGGCCTTTTTGCTTCTTCTGTTTTTCTTGTGTTGGTCGCCTTCCTCTCTCTTTTTTTGTCTTCTTTCTCTCAGCAACAGCAGTTTGTTAATATTTAAATGTGTAATTGTGTTTCGTCAGTCCTATGGATGAGTTGTCATCCAGTGTGCTTCAAAGAGAAAAAGGACAGTCCAGGCAAAACTTGTAATAGTTAATATTTTAACTTTCTTAAGGGTTTGCAACTTGTTTCTTTCGCATGATGTTGCTTTTTTCCTGCTTGAACTTTGAGTACGGTGGCCGACCGGTGCAAACGCGCTGCAGCGGCCCAAAATACTTCCATTGGGAGAAAAGCACTGCAGTTTCAAAAACAAAGCAGATAAAAAGCACACAAATGTTCTGAAACACTAACAAATGAAGAAATATCTTGACGAAACATGCGCAGCATTTACAAAAAACATTCACCATCTTGACGAAACATGTGCAGCGTTTACTGAAGCGCGGCATAAAACGAAACGCTGCAAACTCAAACTGCACGCGAATAAAGAAACACTGCAAGAAGCTCAAAACACAACGGAAACGGGGACACTAAAAAGTGATGCACACAGCTGGGACGGGAGCACTTGTTGACGTTTGGAGATTATAAAGTTGGCCAACTGTCACTCTCGCAGAGTTATTCTATTTCATATCTGTTCGTGTTTGTCAGTATATTTAAAATGATTCGTTTAGCTACGTTAGCTAGCTTACAGCAGATCTGCAAGAATATCATTAGGAATCAAGCGATCACATCGTTTAAATAAGCCAATAAAACGTACATTTTGACAGTTGGCCAACTTCTAAATCCCCGAATATCAACAAGCGCCAGTTTTTTATTTGCATAGTTTTTGAAACTGCGTTGCATTCCTCCTAATTGTTCTGGGCCGTTGTAACGTGTTTGCCTGTCAGCCACCGTATTTCAGTTTTTAAAAGAATGCATGTTTATCTTGGTAAGTTCTTATTTTGGTTACCACTGATGTACAGTAGATTGAGATAATTATTGATATGTTCTTATCTTACCATTGTAACAACGTTTATTATAACACCATTAAAACAAGGCTTACTGTACTTACATTGGCTACAACTCTCATGTCTTGGAACAGATATAAAAAGCATCTTGTTAAATATGCAGTTACTGTACAGTGTGCCGTCGCTGAGATTGGTGACATGACAGCTCATGGTTGCCAGTTACCATAGTAACACAACATGCTTTCTGGGTGCACAGCAGTCAGAAATAGCAACTGACAGAGCGAGTGACGTAAAGTTTTGAAAGAAAAATGTTATTTTTACAGTGTTTAAAAAAGGAAAATGTGCGATCTTAATACATTGTGCATGTGAGATCTCAGATGCTACTGTCAGAATAACAGACCATTGTTTCCGTTCAGTCACATGTTGAAAATGTCGAAGCTGTTCTGATATATTTTCAGTTCAGGGAGCCAAATGATTTTGTTTTGAGCCTTCTTGATTTCATTTGCATAATAGAAAAATGATGCTACCATCCTGGTGTCAGCACTGTAGTAAATGATTGTTCTTTTGTTTATTCATGACTATAATAGATGTTTTGTCTACCTTTAAATGCTTTGTAAAGTAACCCAAATGGGTAGAGTTAGGGGAGAAATCCACCCAGAAGCTTCAAACAGAAAATAATTAATAACTTTTAACTCCCATTGTATAAAGTGAGATGGTTACAGAGAATCAACACCCCTGCATGCAGCTCTGTGTTGCTTTCAACCATTTTCAGCTAATTGTTTCCCCAGCATATCCCACTGAGTGTGTTTTCTACTTTGTGTATATTCAGATGGAGAGATCCAGTGGGACAGATAGACAGAAATCTACCAGCACAACAGAAAAGAGACATTTTGAAACTATAGAGAAGAGGTCTGCATGAAGCAGGCCTCCTCTCTCTCTGGTGCGTAATTAGAGGAAAGAACTCTCACTATTCCGTATGCTGAAAGATAATATTGACAGAACACTGTCCCTGAGGCTTCTCTGCAGCACACACACACTTACAGTGCGCACAGGTCTAAACACACGCAAGATACACACAAAACCAATATGTGAGGCAACCTTAGCAATACAAGTCTGCACTGTGTGTGTGAGTGGTGAGGAGGGAAGAAGGGGGCGGAGGATGACAGACTGCATGCTGACGCTAGTGTATGCGTTCTAACTTCCCCCCCCCCCTCTCTGTTTGCCCCTCCTCTCTCTGTAGTTCATTTGGTCGTGATGAATGGGCGTCCTGCACAGCACTGCAGCAGCCACAAGGAGGGCACACTCTCTCCATGCCCATCTCTCTCCATCAGATCCATCTCTTCTTCTCCTCCTATTAACCACATCTATCTCTTTCTCTGCTTTCCTTCCATTTGTCTCGCTTGTTGTTCCCTCCCTTCCCTTTGAGCTCCTCTTGTTTTATCCGCAGGAGGATCTCAGAGAAAGGAAACTACACTGTAACAAAAGGAAATTCTGTTGACAGTAAAAATGTCACCGCAATGAAGACAGTAGAAGTTATTTTACTATCACTGTAGAAGGATATCGCTGATATTGCTATTTTTGATTGCTATTAAACTCTAACCCTAAGTACAGTTAGGGTTAGAGTTTGATTCCATATTTGGCTATTTAAAATTATAATAACCTAGGAAGTACTATATATAATTAACTAACTTACAAAGTGATGGAAACGTACACAGAATAGAAATTGACTACCAGCCGATGTTTTTATCGTTATGTTATCTTGTAGCTGCTTGATGTTCATGTAATGACAAAAGCCGGTATTTGATTGGCTGTAGTAATCTTGAGAGAGGAGTTGCTGTCTCATTGTTTGTCAAGACAAAAGGAAAGTGTGAGATAAAAAGCTTTAAGGAGAATATTTAATACCGCGCTAATTCAAGAATTATCTTCAGTTGCTATGTTGCCATGTTTGCAGATTTCTCGCACTTTTATGCCGTTACCGAACAAATCCACCAGGCCAATTTCAACATATTTGGTGGATAACCACAACATGACATTCTGGTACAACACACATCACAATTGAATGAGCCGAAAACAAGCCGAAGTTAGAGACCATGTTTGCCCTGAGGGACCTCAACTGTCAAAAAACTTTTAATGATTAGCAGCAACTGTGGCCAAAAGTCACTGTTATGGAATAGTGGTTAAGGGTAGTGTGTACAGTTAAGTATGTACAGTTACACAGCTATATCTATTGGAAGATTGCTAAGATTAGCCAACATAAGCTATTGTTCATACCACACCAAATAGAACTATAGCATTTACACCTTTCAGTACATAACACAGTACAATAAACTCTCAGTATAGTTTTTGGTTTATGAATTCAAAGTCAAACATTTCATTTTATAGCTCTTTTTACTGATATAGTAACAACAGACAAGATTTAGAAATGTGTTATCATGCATTTCTGTGTATTTGCTTTGTTCAAAGGGGACATATTATGCTTTTTTGGGTGTTATTTATGTAAATAGTCTGCAAAGGCTAAACTCCCAAGGATTTTCTCAAGTTGCATTCAATTAACACAATAAAGGCATCTATCTGATCTGACTGGCTGTCACCCTGCCTTACACGGTTGTTCCTGCACCTCCTCCTGTTCCTGTCTCCCATTACCTCCTATTCCTGCTTTTTGTGCATCACATGATACTGCTGCCATGACGACAGTCAGTTCTTAATTTTGCTGCCCTTTTGACCTCGGTTATTTGTCTGCTGGCTGATGGGTTTTCACAGCAGATATTCTGACGTGTCATAGTAGCAAAAGCCCAGCAGTCCTTACAGTGTGACAGCATGCATGATACTAGCACCCTGAAAGTGAAGCAGATAGATACAAATGTAGATCCATCATTTTATTATTCACAGCTCTGCTTTTCTTACTGTGACATGTTCAAAATGTCTTATGTGAAGAAGGTCATTTGTTCAGCCTCTCATCATCCTCTGACATCCACGCCCACCTTTGCACCTGCTCTATCTTCATCCTCTATCTTCATCACCTGCTGAGTATATTACACTTTGCTTTTAATCAGAGGTCCTATATTAAACCAGAATTGTGATATTTTGCTTTACCTTTATCAAGTGCTGCTAGTGTCGAAATCCAATCATGGAAATGTAATATAATGGCAGTTGTTATGAGCAAATACTGTTTCTTTTCTACCGGCCTTAAACATGAGACATGATTCTGTTTCTAAATAGTAGTAATATAGTATCTGTGATACTGCATGCGTCATACTGTATCTTTAGATCAAATGAATGTCTGCTTGCTTCTTAAAGGTTTTCCACACTATGGGATATTGAACCCAATATTGAAGTGATTTTTGCAGCATATTGTCACATTTAGTTACACTACATCTGTATAAGGCACATGATTAAAAAACAGTAGCTACTGTATACCTCAACAGAAAATAGATAGATACTATAAAACATGTGATATTTGAAAATAATGTTTATGCTTGAAGTGCAAACATGTGACTATAATTAAACAAGGTATTCTGGCTTATTAATGTTCTTCCTCACTGCTGAATTCAACACACACACACACACACACACACACACACACACACACAACACACACACAAACACACACACACACACCACACACACACACACACACACACACACACACACACACACACACACACCCACACACACACACACCACACACACACACAACACACACACACACACACACACACACACACACACACACACACACACACACACACAACACACACACACACACACACACACACACACACACACACACACACACACCTTTAATGCCTATTACTTCCTCAGCTATTTTATTTTTACTTGTGTTTTCAAATCTTGAGAAGATGCTGAGCACATACACTTCACCTCACAGCACCTTGCTTTCTCTCATTAAATGTTACACATCCAAACCAAAAGAACACTACTAATGCTGCTGCTGCCATCCAGCAGCTCCACTGCAGCAGTGAGGGGCCCTCAGGGGCCAGGGGGGCAGCAACCCTGTTTCACTTACTATCAAGTGCATTGAGGAGAAAACATCGCTGCAGCAAATAAGAGCTGCACTGCTTAGTCAACTTATTGATTAGTCAATCAACTATTTCGATAGTAGCTTAATCGCTCTAGCAAAAACTGCTGTTTGCAGCCACTCAGATATGAATACCTTCTACTTTTCACTGTTTTATGTCATGTTAAGATAAAAATCTTTGGGTTTTGGACATTTAAAGACATCACCTTGGACTTTGTGAAACTGGGATGGACATTTTTTTTTTTTTTTGCTAATCGTCAGATTAACCAATAATGAAAATAAATGTACGCAGCTCTACAACGGATTCAATCACAGGACTTATTATATTTTTACTTGAGAAATAAATTAACTTAAATTACACCAATCAGTAATTCAATTACATTTCTCAAGTAAAAAAATAAAAAGTGTTTCTCACATTTGAGGATTTGCTGTTATCTGTTGTATCTGTTTTTGTCCAACCTTATATTCAAGACATCATTTGAAGCTCTGTAAATATGCGATGGATACTTACATTTTTTTACATTTTGCATTTTAACATTTTATAGACCAAGGAAGCAAATTCTAGTTTGAGATATTCTTAACATGAACTTGTACTCTCATGTTTCACCCACGCATGTTGGCTAACTCAAATCTATGTAGATAATGTAAGCAGACCGATCACATGCAAACACGGCACAGAGAAACTGGGAAACAGCTAAACAGCATCTACGTTTATCCTCACTTGCCTGTGTCCTCTCTCCTGTGTGTGTGTGCATGTGTGTACATGTGTGTGTGTCCTTGGCCCACTTCTCTCCCCGTTGAAGCCGCTTCACCTCCTTTGTTGAGGCATCTTCTTCATTTCACATATAAACCTAACGTCCTTCACTTTGTCTTCTCATCTTTCTCTTATCCTCTCACCACAAACGCTCTTTTGTTTTTGCCCCTACCTTATCAGACTCTTTATTTCCACTCTTTCTGCCAGCAGTATCCCCTTTATTCTTCTCCTCAGCTTTTTCATACTGTATACTCCTCATCCCTCTTTCTTCTCTTCTCCTCCTTCAGCAACTTTTCTTCTTCTCGTCTATCCCTCTGCGCTCTGCAACTCTCCCTAAGCTTCTGCCCCATCATCGCCCTCCCTTTTCACCCTACTCCTCTCTCTCTCTTCAAGCCAGTAGTCAAGAGGCATTCGTGTGTGTGTGTGTGTGTGTGTGTGTGTGTGTGTGTGTGTGTGTGTGTGTGTGTGTGTGTGTGTGTGTGTGTGTGTGCGTGCGTGCGTGTGTGTGTGTGCGTGTACAGAACATAAGTTTGTGCCAGCTGGAAGTCTTGGGAGGAGGGAAGCGAGTTGTGTGTGTGTAAAGAGAGAGAGGAGCTGCAGCAGTAGCAGCGCAGTGTAAGCATCTTCACACACAGACTGGATGTCCACACTGAAGCCAGACTGGCAGCGGTGCCAAAACCCACCGAAACACGCAAACACCCGATAATATGGTCCTAATCTCATCCCTGCCGTGCTTAAATATCAATTTACTGCAGTGTGAGGGGGGGGGGGCATGTAAACTGTGGGAGCATGAGTGTGTGTGTGCTAGCATTGTGCGGTTGGTGCAGAAAGTATTTCCTGTCTGACATTATGAAGATAAAAAAATTGCGACTTTTAAAATCTTCTCAGTATGCAATGGAGAGTATTAGCGAAACAGCTGTAGTCATTTAAGACATCATACAGGAAACTACTGCGAAAATATTTTTAGTATAGGAGGTTGTATTTTTTAATTGTTAGTTGTTTTTAAAGTATTGTGATGGAAATGTCTTCCAGCACATTTTCATCTTTTCACACCCTCATCAGGTAACCAGTCATGTTTTTCTTCCTTTTTTCTCCCTCCAGTTTGAGGGGATTACTAGTAAGTGTCATAAAATCAAATTAGGTCATCATATTTAATATTTCAGTGACTACATTTGGTTTCATCTTGTGATGTCCAGCAGGCCTGCACTGCAGCCACCCAAATTACAAACTAGCATTATATCTGTAATGCATAACAATAATCTTTTCAAGAATGTATCATTATAGCTATTATTATAATGTTCCGAGAAGTTACCCTCAAAAAACATTGCTAGTATGAAAATGTATTGATTAACTTTGTTTGTGTTGTCCTTACATAGTTAGTGTGTGTGTGCATTTATCCAACTGACCTGCAGAGCGCTGTTGAGGAAGCAGCTGTTCTGTCCCGGTTCGTTGCTCAGGCCTTTGCTGGGTGCAATAGAGGTCATGGTTCTCGGGGTCACCAGCCCCTGCACCCCTCCTACTGCTCCGCCACCGCCACCCGACGCAAAGTAGTTCCTCTTCCACGACATTACTACCTGGACCCCCCCGTTTCCACGGCGAGGCGGGGAAGGGGCGGGGCAGCAGACCAAGCGACGGCCTCTATGTCACTCCCATGAGAGAGAACGAGGTGGAATGAGAGAAGAGCTGAGGCGGAGGAGGCAATGGAGGGAGGAAGAGGAGGGAGGAAGAGGAGGGAGGAAGAGGAGGGAGGCCGTAGATCGAGGAGATGCGGTGAGTCTTGGATGGGGATTTGGCACCCATACAACCCTCCCCTGTCCAGCCGTGTTTTTACTTTAAAATCTGTCCACTTGCTGGAGCCAGCGGTTGGCTTCTTCTTTTTTTTAGCTCCTTGGATTTAGCAGTTTGTGTTTGAGGACATGAGAGTGTGTCCAACTCGTCCTTTGGCAGATCCTAGCAGATAAAGGTTGTTTAGGCGGCACTTCTGCTCCCAGGTGGGGACCTCTTCAACACTTTTATATCCTCTTTCACTTTGCCTGTAACACACAAAGGCAAACTTGTTAGAACGGCGCAAACAAAACTAGAAGAGCACACACAAGCTGTATATGAGCCTTCTAACTATACAACATTGCATAATATGCTGTCTAACGAGAGTTTCAATAGAAGTATAAACATTGCAAGTAAAGTGGTTAAAAACTGTTGCCGTTTTGGTTGTTAAAACTAGAGTTCGAAGCCCTCTCATGGCTTAGAAATGCAACCACTGCTGCTATCAATGAAGACGCAATGAAGATTGCCAAGTGACAATAATGATTATGGCCTACCCTTAACTTGTGGAAGCCAAGTTTCGCTCCATAGTGTTAGCTAGCTCACTGCGGGGGCTACTGACCTAGCCTATTCCAAAAATGTGGTTTGATTTTCAAATGCGCTTGGCAGACAGGCATGGTTATGTATAAAGTATATGTATTGCATTGTCTATTCATATTAAATCAAAGAAACATCAAACCTGTATAAAAAAAACGATCCTATAGTCAATAGGGCTAAATCACAGAGGATAAACACCAATCGCTCAAGCTTTTTGTGGTCTTTTAGCCCCTTAAGATAATTGTTTTGGTTTTATTGGACATTTTTAGTATAGTTTTGTCTCATTCTTTAACTTGTTTTCGTTAAACCCACAGCATACAAACTCCTCAGCACCAAACAGCAGACAGGTGACTAGCTATTTGAACATTTAACAGCTAAGCTAGCAGTTCTCAGAAGATGGTGGGGACCAAAATAGAGTTGAAAGGAGAGTAAATATTGGAATTACATTTGATAGTTGGACAGAAACAGAATACTAAGAGAATGCTAATTTTGTTCACTGTGGGATTTAAGCAGCCAACTTTAGTAGCCATGATGGTTAGTCTAAAAAGCGACTGTCTGCTTGTTTTGATGTTCCTCTGTCCCCTAGTGGCCAAAAATCAATGACTCAGAAACGTATACTTCTTGCCTTCGTAACATGACTCCTTAAAATCAGCACATTGAACAGTGTAGCACTGCATCAGTCAAACGGGGGCTGTTCGGAGAAATCTGTTATGTCATTTCATAATCGGTACTTAGGGACATTATCTGGAGCTTATACTGGTTTGAGCATCACTATGCACAGCTTCCGGATGTGTGTGAGGGGGAAAAAAAGAAGCAGATTGTGTGTGTTTGTCACCCTATACATTTGCGTGGGTGTGTGTACATGAAGTTGCATAACACCACAGAGCAGTAGCTAACGGCTCCGCAGTGCCCCCCCTCTCTTCCCCTATAGCTTCACCACTTTTTGGCAAAGCTCCCTCGCCTGGTTGTCAGGCTGCGTTGCCACCATAGCACCCCCTTGGCTAAAGGCCAGAGGGCGCAGGGATGCTGCGCCATAGAGACAGTCCCATGGGATTGGGGTGGCGAGTTGGGGGACGTCGTGGCAAGGGCAGCAAGTGAAATGAATCAGTTCATCCACCTGTCACACAGACCTACTGCACTCTGACAAATTCCCACACTTATCTATGTACACCATTTTTTTTTTTAAATGGATACATTAATCCATAAACAAACAAATCCAAATTGCCAGAGGAGTTATAAAGGGATTTGGCTGGCATGCCCCTGTGTGCCATTTTCCTCTACTGAACAGCACCCTGAGCTTCTGTCTCTCAGCATACAGTGTGTGCATGTGTGTGTGCGAGTGTGTGTGTCTCCCGCTGAGCCTGTGTGGAGTGTGTGATCACACATCCTCCCTCTGACTGGCTGCACCCTACAGCCACACACAACTGAGATGTCTCTGGCAAGCCCCCCCTCGCACAAACGCCTGTTATTTGGTGTGTGTGTGTGTGTGTGTGTGTGTGTGTGTGTGTGTGTGTGTGTGTGTGATCTTCAGCTAGTTACCATGGAAATAGGCCAAGCAGCAGGCACGCGGGGGACAAGCAGAACAATGTGATTTAACTGAGAGACACACACACTGTGCTGCACTGGTTGAGAAACACACACACACACACACACACACACACAAAAACACAGGCACACACACACACACAGACTAAGACACACTGAGACATACACAGGGCTGGCGAGTGATGATGATGTGTATTGATGGTAGAGAGTTCCTGGAAGCCAGAGTGAGTCAAGGCACAAGTCAATCAAACTCCCTGACCCTGCGCTGGAGGCATAAGGAAGCGGGACCACTGGAGCAGCCAGACAGCGAACACACATGGAAGGCGCTTCCACGTGCACCGTCCAGGTGAACACACTGGCTGTTCTGTCAGACACAGACACAGCATATGTTGTCTGTGAGGCTTATGGAAATCAAGCCCAGTTCAGTTTGAGCATGGAGAAATGGTGGCAAAGTGAGTTTTTCTTCAAGAGTTTTTCTACAATACTGTAGACATAACTACCGGAACAATTTTACGGATACTTTTCTTGCTCAAGTACACTTCCACATGGCAGATGGTTCACATTTTCTGCCTTCTAATGGAATTATATGAATTTATTTTGAAAAACATAACAGCAATGCCTATTACCATTAATAATTACCCTGTTACTCGAGATAATCCACAGACCCTTACCGAAATATACCCACTTATAAATATAAATTCAAAAATAGCACTACAGGTCAGAGGACAATTATGTGTTTAACCACTAAGAACAGCTACATTTTAAAAAGTACTTTAGCTAGAAGTTAAATTAGCCAAAGTGGTGAGGTATCCATGTTCAAGAGTTCTGTCGCAACCCCAATACAATTCAGATTCATGTAATTTTGTTTGTGGTGCTCACAGCTTTAATAAAAGACATTTGAACAGAGGTTTGTCTTTCCAGAAACAATGTCCTACCCTGAACAGTTCACAGACTATATTCCTGTCAACAGCTTGTTGAAAGCATGGGAAATAATACCAAAACTCTTAGTTACAGAAGTGGGAAATATGCTCTTTAGCAATTTTGTGAACAGACCCTTGAACCTCTTCAACAGAACAGACATTTGACATTAAAGGCTAGCATTATTCAATCCCTCAGAACTATTCATTATTTAAAGGTCTCTCACTTTACAAAAAAGGGCAGACTGAATTAAAGAGATGTTCTGTATAAAATTATATGATGTAACTGTGCAGCCCTCACAATTGGCACCATAGCGTTTAATACACCACCACCACACAAAGCTTTTACAATGCAATGCAATCCAAGTATGTTATTCTAATATTCTCTCTACTTTGTTACAGTAATACGGAAGGCCAGGCCTGCTTTCAGGTGGGATCAGATAAGCCTTAGCCCAGGCTCTTGACCGTTTACACTGACTTAAGGTCACTTAAAAACATGTTTGGGGACAGTGTTGTGCTGTCCTCTTGTATAAAGTCCTAACAGCTGGCCTGTGAGTGCGAAAAAAAGGGCCACCAAGGTGACACAAAAATTAAAGGACATGTCTGGTGATATTCTGCATACAGTACATCTGCAAAAGCTAGCAATGAACTGATCCTACTTACAAGTGTTGTGTGTGTAACCAAAACCCAATATATCTTATATATGGTTATATTATACACAAAGCTCCATCGTTAACCAACAACAAAAACCCATCAATGACCTGCTGACACCATCATGCTGCTGTCAATACTCTACTAGAGCACCAACATGTGTATTCATCCACAACTGAAAATGGTTCCTAACAAATCATAATTACATTACATGTTACTTGTTAGACACTTTTATCCAAAGCGACTTACATACTGTGGACGGGATTGTATGTATACAGGAGCAATTTGGGGTGAAGTGTCTTGCCCAGGGACACAACGACATGCTGACTGCAGTGGGTTTTGAACCTGTGACCCCCTGATCCCCCACACCAAGGCTCTATCCACCAGGGCTCTATCCATTACGCCACACGCCACTGCCCATCTAGTAATAGTAATTACAGATGTGGACTAAGGTTTTTTTTGTTTTTGTAAATGAGAGGACACAGCTGTCAAAGGCTGTTACTAAATATTCTTGCTATTTCTATATATGTGTGACTTGTTTAAAAAATGTATGCCTCAAGTGAGGTTGAATTAGATAGCAAAAAGGCTTAGGGGACTGTTGATAGACATGTGTTTAGAATGTGGGATTTGTTGACTACACGAAAACGGTAAGGCAAACGAACCGAAATCATTAACAAAAAAGTCTTCCGTCCACACGCAATAGGCACCTGAAACGTGTCCTTCCACACGAGACCGCTCGACCCGCTGGAGACGCTGTAGTACATATGCCGGGCCTGTAAGTGGCGCTGTACTTCCGCCACAAAATACACCAAAAGCAGTGAAGAAGACTTCCGAGCATGGTTTCCATGGTTGCCCTTCTGATTATTCTCCACGGTGGATTTAGCAGCAGAGGTGGGGAGAGGCAGGGCTCTTTTTCTCCGTCAGCAGCAGCTGATCTCTGATCTCTCTCTCCTGTCCGATTAGACTTCACTCGCGTTTATGTCCATATCGATCAGATCTAGCTAGTTCTAGCTAATGACTGCCTGAGTGTCAAAGGACACTCGAATAAGCGAAATTTTGACCGGAAATTTTAGATTTCGGCTAACGGAAACTCTGCCGTGCGGGGGGGTCTGCTGGAGGCACCTGCTGGGTGCACTGTCCTGCGAGATACCGGGACCTGGCTCGAAACACTCGGAAAACTGTTGTTGTTGTTGGCGAAACACATCAGCAATGACGCGGGTGACACGGGGGTGAGCAGGAGAGGTGGGGAGAGGCGGGGCTATTGCGTCATCGTTATCAGAAAATAATCGTATAGGGCGTAGACACGGAGCCGTTTGGCCCCCCAGAGCGTTGCGTCCGCAGATCTACCCACCTTGGGACCCGTTATCGTTATCGTTATCTGCGTTTCCCTGTCGGCCTCGTGTGGCCGAACCGTCTATATGATAGAGAACTGTAGCGGATACGACAGTTACCGTTCTCGTGTGGCTCCAGCCTAAGAAGGTTCACACAATGAGAGAGTACTGAAGTGTGATATTGCCTCAACAAATAGCAGGAGCAGGCAGATAACGTGTGTTGTTGACGTG